CGTGTATGCCCCTAGACCACCCCCTTCCATTACTGTATAACCTATAGTGCAACCCTTTCCTGTGATTGTATGTCTTTACCTGTAATTAGTGGGCTTGCATGCCCCAAAGGTATATAAGCCTGGGTTAGCAATAGAGAGCTCTCTCGCTCGGCTCCCCCTCTCCTCTCCCCTCCCGTCCTCACTCCCCTGTTCCCTTTGCCCTCCTTCCCCCTCTCTCCAGGTGGACCACCAAGTGGGGCTGAGGTGAGCAATGCTACCGTGTAATGTGTCTGACTCCATTATTTGACTCTCTTCTACCTCTCATGCTCTTGTTGACTTTAATATAATATATATACATCTCAACCATACAATTGTACTTACTGAACCTGTGGTTAGTGGTGGGGGGCTGGCCACCCCCAACTCATACTACATCCATGGATTTGTTTCTCTAGTCTACCCAGTCATACACAGTTACTCTTTACAAGACTGGAAAGCCTCATCTTTCTCCCTCAGAGCTGCCAGTGGTTTCAAACTGCTGACATATGCGCTATGGAAGGAGGAGGGATTCTCCATAGGAACCATTATCAGTTGGGTGTGAACTCCGTCCACAGGAACTAAACTAATGGCCTTAGGCTCCAGAGAGAGGTAACCCATTGTCTCTAGCATCAGGGAGCAGGCCCACCCCACACCCCACACACCCACACCCCACACCCCCCCACCACCCCCACCACCCCTGGTGGGATGAGACAGCAGTCTGGCAGCAAGTATCTGACTTCCCCCCACAAGGAGAGGCCTGGACCGGAGACAGATGGGGCCAGTGGCCAGAGCCGCTGATTTCAAAGTCAGTGTCTGCTTGTCCCATCAGGGGGAGTTCCCCGGAACTTCTGGCACCATGCCGATTTCAAGACCCTGAGAAGTAGGACCACCTCACGTATTTACCAGCTCCAGACGGGAGGGTGGTGAGGCAAAGACCATCCTGCAAGATAGAATCCCCTGCTGGGTTCCTGCTTCCCAGCAGCCTGGCTGCTGTCCGGCTACGTACCAAGGTTCGGAGGGCCATGGCAGGGTCTCAGCTGCCAGGCTGTGCAGATGCCAGGACCTGGGTGCCTGGTGCCCTGGGTCTGGGTGGGTGATGTTTGAAAGTCCATCGCTGGTGTGTTTTGTCATTCATTCATTCATTGATTCACTGACTCACGATGGACACTGCGTAGCTGTCAGTGTCCCCCTTCACCATCCTGGGCTTTGGAGCTTCTGCTGTGACTCAGACAAGCATGGTGTCTGCCTGTGTGGAGTCTTGTCACTGAGCAGAGGAACAATAGACTCCTTAGCCTGACTCCCTGATGTGCCCCCCACCCCTCCCTGGCCTGGTCTGGGCGGCCAGCCCCCTTCTCCACTAGGAACACGTGCCACCCCCAACTCAGCTTGCCTCTGGCAGTGCCTCCCTGCCCCGTTGCATCCAAAGTCTAGCCCACACCTCCTCCAGGAAGCCCGCCCTGACTAACTACGGGCAAGGTAAGCATTGAGAAGCTATGGGGACAGTGTCAGCTCTAGGCACCAAGCCCACCCTGGCCGGCCGCATGGCATGAGAACTGGTCAGTCCCTGGACCAGCAGAGGGTCTCGAACCCTGCCCCCGCGTCCCCCCACCGGCCTCCTGCCACCGCAGCCCTGGGTCGCCTAGCCTGCAGCCCCCTGCTCTGGATGCAGCAGGGGAGAAGGCAGGGGGTTAATAGTAGTCTCCACCAACAGGGTCTGCAGCTTAGATCAGGGGTCACCCTTCTGGGCACAGCTCAGGTGTCCTGAAACCCAGGTCCAGGGCCACAAGAGCCAGGCAGGCGCCAGAGGGAGGGGGTAACACGCTCTGGTGGCTGACACCGGATCTCGGTAATATCGGGGAGCAGGGAACATGAGCCGTAAAAGGATACTCCCAGAGGGCAGGGGGAAAGGAGAGGTGAGGGGTGGGGCTGCACGCCCCCCCCACAAGGTCCCTTCTCTGTGCGCCTGTGCATATGTGCCTGTGCGTGTGCGTATGTGGGTTGGTGGCCTGCCGGTCTGTGTGGGGTTTCTCTGTGTGTGTGTATGAGGGCCTGTGGTCATGGGCCTAGGTGTGTCCTCTGTTGGTCTTTGTGTGTGCGTGTGTGTGTGTGTGTGTGTGTGTGTGTGTGTGTGTGTGTGTCTGCACATGTGCAGATGTGTGCCCCACCTCACCACAGCCAGGCTACAGTTTGGAACCAGGCCGCCCCCCGCCCCCCATCACAGCAATGGACCAGCAGGTTCCCACCAGCAGCCTGTGAGGCTCTGGGTGGGGGCTGCCACCAAGTCCTGAGTCTAGCTGGGTTTCTAACTGAAAGACACTGTGTCCCCCACAGCGCCCGCCCCCGCCCCCGCCCCCCAATGCTGGAACCAGCTGGATTCGCCCACATTCCACCTGGAGCCCCAGCCAGCCCAGGGACAGCCCTCCACTCCATGGCTCCAGTCGGTAGGGGGACAGCCAGGCCCAGGCCCGGCAGAGCCACCCCCCTGCAGGGCCTCCTGAGGAACAGAGTGGAGGACGGGCAGGGTGGGAATGCTGCTGGAGGGAGCCGAACCTGCCCCCTCTTGCTAAGCTGGCCTGCAAGATACAGCCGATGTTTCCCTAGCCTGGGGCCGGGGAGGCTGCTCACTCTGCGTGACCTTGGACGAACATGGAGGCACAGTGATGGAGCTCTCAGCTGCTAGCCAGGAAGGTCAGTGGTTCGAACCCACCAGCTGCTCCGTGGAAGCAAGAGGTGGCATCTGTGTCTTTAAAGAGCTACAGCCTCAGAAACCCTATGGGCAGTGCTAGTCTGTCCCACAGGGAGGCCACAATCAGAACTGGCTTGACAACCATGGACAGTGGGTTTGGGGGGGCATGTTGAAAGACACCTGAGACAGCCTGGACTGCACCTGGCAGCCTGGGTGGCTGGAGGAGAGCCCCTGACTGTGCCATGTGGGGGTCCACTTAATGCTCCCCGAGGGGGCCCCCTCTGATGGTCTTGGCTGGTGGAAAGGGGCCCCTGTTTCTGTGAGCCCTGACCCTCCATGTCCAGGTAGCCGTCAAAGACTCTCCCGAAGTAGATCCACCCTTCCCTTCCCTTTTCATCAGTGTGAGATGCAGAGGGTCCCAGGGTCGCACCTACATGCAGGTTTACTGCAGAGATGCCCAGAAATGCAGTGGGGCCTGCAGGGGGCCAAGTCAGCAAAACGTCTTAGACGCTGCCTGACACCTTGGGGGAATCAGGACTACAGGCTCAGAGAACACCAAGGTCAACTGGCACAACATAGTCCGAGAGGACAATGTTCTACATCCTACTTTGGCGAGTAGCGACTGGGGTCCTCAAAGCTCGTGAGTGGCCCCCTAAGGTGCAAATTCTGGTCTCTCCCCATCTAGAGGGAAGAAGAGAGGGAAAAATCAAAGACACGTGGAAAGGTCACTCCGTGACTCAATCAGTCTCAGCAACCCTGAGACCAGAACAACTAGATGGTGCCCGGTGACCCCCAGCAATGGCTCCGAAAGGGGGCCCTTAGAAGGGCCTGAGCAGAGTGGGAGAAAAATGTACAGTGGGACCCAAGACAATCAGAGAGGCCAGGCTTATTGGTCAGCTAGGGACAGGCGAGCCCCCTAAGACTTTGTCCCTTTGTCACCCTTCAGGGCTGGAACTGAACTCCGACCCCTGTGAGATCATCATCAGGCAGCGTTTACCCCAGGAAGGAGGTCAGAGGGTCCGGAAAGGAGGAGGGATGGAATGCAGCGACATGGGGAGGAAGTGGCCCAAGTGCTGGCCCACTGAGGGGCTTGTGATGAAGGTGCGGACACAAACTGTGTGGGAATTGTTGGACATCTGACTGAGGATCTGCTCTGTAAACTTGCCCCCGATTCTCAATTTTTAAAAAGCTGTTTGTTCTGTAAAGGACGACACTATGTCCTGCCCTAATCCCACCTCTAATGTATAGGGATGCTGTGGTTGTTACATAATGTGTTTTCAGTTTGATACGATTAAGAGTGAAGGGGTGGAGTTTAGCCTGCCAGTCAGGTCGCAGTTTGCTGACCTCATTTGAAGGCGCAGGAGGCAGGACACACACGCTCACTCCCTGTGGGACATTCCTGTTGACAAGCCACATGGAGCTATGCTGATACAGCCAGAGCTCTGGAGCTAATGGAGCCATGTGGAGATCCACGCCAGCACTAAGATGCTTCCACTACCACTGGATCCACAAGACTTTCCACCCACTGGCCTGTGATCATCCTGCATTTGGCATCATTGCATGGCTGTGTGAGTCTAAAGAGGAATTAATGGACTAGTATCAACATATGGGATAATATCAGACTTATGGACTTGATCTGGAATTTATGGCCTGGTATCGACATATGGGGTAATATCGGACTAGTGGACTTGATCTGGACTGGGCTGGGATGTTTTCTTAATGTACAATTGCTCTTTGATGTACAGTTCTCTCTTACACACATGAGTTTCTATGAATTTGTTTCTCTAGTCAACCTGGACTAACACAGATGCCCCCACCCCCAATTTTATAGACCAGGCTAATGAAGTTTAGAGACATGACCCTATACTAAGGTGACCAGACGTCCCGCTTTTGGTGGGACAGTCCCGATTTTTAACAATTTTTCCCATGTCCCGCGGCCTTTTAAAAAGTCCTGATTTTTGGAAAGAATGCACGACAAGCTAGGGTATACGGTTTTCGGCTGCCATGTGGCTATTTCACCAGGATATGAGTTTTATCAATGGTGTCCCGCTTTACCGATGTTAATATGGTCACCTTACCCTATACCCACCTGCCCTTACCACCTCCCCTCCCCCTCCTGTCTCACCTGGCTGGGTGCCCCTCACTGCCCTGGCCCTGCACATTCTCTAATGAGACAGGCATAGGAGGGTCACTGCCCAGAGGGCTTGTCCTGGGTCCCTACGTGAGCCAGGGTGCTGGCCTCCACCCCTTCCCTGAGTGACACTTCCAGGGCCCAACAGCGACAGCACCCTCGGCTTGCTGCTCTTTATTTCATTAGGAAAGTAGCTGTGTGGGATGAGGGTGAGGGGAGGTGGTGGCTATCGGGACAGAGGGTCAATAGCCTGGCTCCTGTCCAGTTGGGGCGGCAAACCTGTGGGGAACAGAAAAGAGACTTGAGGGGCTCTAGGGTGGTGCTGTGTTCTGACCCTGCATCCTGGGGCTGGGCCCTGGGGACAGGGGCAGCTTGAGCCAGGGTATGGAAGGTAGGGCTGGTCCACCATGCCCCATCCCCTGCCCCATCCCAACCCACGTGGGGAGGAGGTTTCGGTCCCCAGGTTCCCTTACCTAGGCCTCAGCTCACCTGGGAGGGGTGAAGCGACTGCTGTGAGGAGTGTTCTGGTAGAAAGGGTCCGTGTGGGTCAGGGTTCTGCAGGGGAGGGAGGAGGCATGGATGAGGGAGGGAGGGGTGCCCACAGGTGGGGTGGAGGGTGGGCTGCCCCTTCTCTTGGCAGCCCCTCCCAGTCAGCCCCTGGCAGAGACACAGACAGCCCTGCCTGCCAGCTCTGGGCTGTTTCTCCGTCAATGACAACTTTGTGGGATTTGTTTGAGCAAAGAGGAGTCATCAATGAGGTGGAACCACAGCCCATTCATCTCTGGTTCCACCTTCCAGGCAGGCTCGGCTAGCCGCAGCCTGGGTCCCCAGAGATGAGGGAGAGAGTCCAGGGGAGGAGGAAAGGAAGAAGGGTGGAGAGGGGAGGAAGAAGGAGAGGAGGAGGAGTGAGGAAGGAAGTGGGAGGAGGGGGGAGGAGGGAGGATGAAGAGAGGAGGAGGAGGGAGGCAGGTGGAGCTCCTGCCCTGGGAGGACTGGAGCAGAGGAGACAAACAGATGGACAAGCAGCAGGACCTGATGAACCAGGCAGGGCTGGACGTGGAGGGGAGGAAGGGCTGGGCCGCTACCTTCCCACGTGCGGGTGCAGGCCTTGCAGGCTCTCCGTGGGGGTGGGCGTGGGCTCCCCACGGGGGACCGGATGGTTGAGCGCGTAACTTCCCGGCTTCTGGGGTTGGATGCCCCCTCGAGTCCAACCTTCCCGGTCTAGACCCTTAGGAATGTTCTCGAAGAACCTGCAGCAGGTTTGGACAGAGGTTGCCGTGTGCTGTGGTGGTGGTGGGAGGGGGGACACGAGGGGACGGGGTCCATCACACTGATGATCTCGGATGAGCCCACTGTGGCCTCCTGACCAGCCACCCTGCTACTGTCCTCACCCCCAGGTGATTCAAAACGTGCCCATCTAGCCACACCCCCAGGGACATGTCTCTCTGACCCGCCTTCAATCCCAGCCCTCCTTTCACAGCTCCTGCGGGTCCCTCTGCCTGGCTGGGCCTCAGCCCTCCTGCACTTGGCTAACCCGCTCACCCTCCTCCCCAGCTGGGTTTCACTCTGGGCTTTAAAGGGCTGAGTGGAGCAGAAAGGAACTCTGGGAGCTTAGTGTGTGACTCATTACATTGCCGGGTCAAACCCACCCTCCGACGGGCAGGAGAAAGAGGAGGCTGTCTACTCCTGTAAAGATTTAAGTCTCAGAAACCCACAGCGGCATTGAGCTCTACTGGGCCTTCCGAGGTGACTCAGCTTCTGGAAGAGTTCCCCTCAGACAGTCTGGTCTCTTCCACCAGACAGTGAGCTCATCGCTACACCCGTCCCAGACTCAGCCTTCCGGACTGTAAAACGGGTGTCAGGTTGGGGGCCAG